TGTATTTTAACAACATCTATCAGCGCTGCATACTTTCGGATTGACGATTCGAAAAAGTAACCAAGTCCAAAAGTGTATGACTGCGCATGACTGGACTACACAGTCAAAGCTTCCTGGTGTGTTATTCATTTGCATCTACTAGGCCAAAAAGAAAATAGGTTAGGCCTACGTGTTTGCAAAACTGGATAAACCTGGAAAAAAAAAATTTAAAATATATGGCTCGCATGACTCGCGCATTGGCTCGCATGATTCGCTGGCTCGCACTTTGGCACTGCTCTGCTATGACGTGTGTGGCTGAACCTTGTTTGGTTGAATCATGGTAGGAAGAAAAAACAATCAACAATTATCGGAGAAGGGGGTGGGGGTGAGGAAACACAAACGTACGGTGTTATTTATTTAATAAAATAATATTTAATTTGTTAATGATGTCAAAATATTGTATATACATGGAGGCTTCATGTTCTTGCCAGGATTTGGTATGTTGGTCCCTGGTGCAGCTGGGCTGCTGGGCCGCGGCTTGGTGCGTGAAGTGAAAAAGTTTGCGGAACGCTGTCCTAGTCCGCCTTATGTAGCCCATGCTGAAGTGGTTGTATCTAGCAACTCCCATGTTCTCACCGACGGCCAAAACTTTTAAGTATTTCAATTTCTATCACTTCCGCCGTGAGACAATCACTTCGTCCGCCGTGAACCTCACGGTGGAAGTTGTACTTTTCACGGCAGAAGTTGTGATTTTGAAAGTTTGACGTGACATTTCAAAAGTTTTTGCTGTGAATTTTGAAGTGTGTCGTGGGTTTTAAAGTGTGCAGTGAATTTTGAAAGTGTGCCGTGACTTTTGAAAGTGTGCCGTGTGGTTTCGAAAGTTGTTGCCGTGAATTTCCCAAAATGTGGCCGTGACATTCCGAAATTTGTTGTACATACAGTACTTAGCATGATATTAAAGTGGTAAAGTACCATATTCAACGCAGTCCTCGAATATTTGCATTGGAATAATAATAATTAAGCAAAATAAAAATGAAATAAAAGAAAAACTAGAGATACTATGTTAAATAGAACATGAACCCAGTCATTTTTAAGAGATAACCACTGTGACCTTTAAGCTCAACCTGTGTGAACACCCCATTTTTGGTAGGAGTCTGTCTAATGCAATTGGTCCAATCATTACTCACTAGAAATCATAATGAAAACTTTTCATTATGAACCGTTCAGTGAGAGGATGTCCTCAAATTTTCATTATGATTTGGTAATTTTCACTATAGTGACCCTTGTGACTTTTGACCTATAGGTGAAGAGACGTTTTTCATGTTTAGAAGGTCATAAGGATCATTCCTGGTAAATTCGAGCTCAATTGGAGTTTTTTGAAAATTTGACCCCGATAACCTCTATGTTACCCTGATCCCAGACTGGGGTTAAGGAGGTGTCGCCGGTTCTTAATGACGAAATTTGATTGAATTTCGTCCAATGGTTTGCCATTAGTAGCATTTTGAAATGTTACTAGAGAGAACAAAAAATAACTCTTTAATGACCTTTGACCGTAAATCGCTGAACACCATTAGGACCCTACATTATGCCAATACATATGTGCCCAGGACAAGACTGTGCTATGTTATTTGTGACAGAAGAAGTATTTTATTCATTTTTTTGAAAATTTTTTACCATAATGACCTGTATGTGACCTTTGACCCAAAGCAGTGAACACCCCATGTACGAGAGGTGTCACCGATTATACTGACCAGGTTTGGTTGAAATCGGCACAACCGTTTGGCACTAGTAGCGTTTTGAAATGCTGCCAGAAAAAAGATAAAAATTACCCCTTAATGACCTTTGACCCCTTATCCCTGAACACCCTATAGACCCTGCCTTAATCTAATGTATATGTGCAAAGGACAAGACTGTGTTACGTTATTTGTGAGACAAGTAGTCTTTTATACGATTTTTGGTTTTTTGACCCTAATGCCCCTTATGTGACCTTTGACCCCAAGTTGTGAACAACACATAAATGGGAGGTGGCACCGGTCCTACTTACCAAGTTTTAATTAAATTGGTCCAGTAGTTTGCCACTAGTAGCCTTTTAAAATGTTGCCAGAAAGAAAGAAAGAAACTGCTAGGAAACAGAACCCAGTCAGCATGCTGCTGACAGGGTAAAGAAAGAAGCAACTGCTCGGAAACAAAACCCAGTCAGCATGCTGCTGACTGGGTAAATAAAGCATATTTTCATGCCAAAAATATTTTTCATGGTACCTGCGCATTTAATGTTGTGGATAACCTGTAATAGAACTTGTCATTTGTCTTCCTTTCTTTGTGTATGTGTAAGTGTGGGCAAAGTACCGTTTCCTGTATTAGGTTTTTTTCCTATCATAGTAATACTAGTTATTTTTTTTCTATCATATTGACCTTCCTTCTTACGCCTGAACAACTGCTCGGACGTTGTTCATACAACAACTCCCGATAATAGTATATCCTGTATGAGTATTTCCAAACCAAGCATAGTTGGTATAATCTTGATAAAAAAAAAAGCCCCGTATATTTTTATCAGTCATACAA